AAGAAGGAAGGAAAAAAAAAAGATATGATTTTTATGGCTGATCAGAAAGGGAAAAAAAAAAAAGAAAGGAGGGAAGAAAACGAAAGGGATTGGGGGTTGATCAAAACTGCTCTGATACCAAGTTAAAGTTGTAGATAAGAAAAGAAGAAAAGAAGAAAAAAGAGGAAAATAAGAGGAGAAAAAAGGAAAAGAAGAGAAATGGAATAATCAATTGTATAAGGTTATGTTGCCTTACATTTTCTTATTTATAATAAACAAAAATTATAATATTATCCTACACTACTAAATACTAATAATATAAATAAGAATACGAACTCTAGCAATATTAAAGGTATTAAGCAGTGCAATTTGAACATTTATTTTATGAATTCATTCCATGAAATGTTGTTAAGCTTTGATAACAACCCATTGTTATAAAATGATCAAAGTTGGATGAATTAATCATATATAATTTACCATTTTTTTTCAAAATTTGATGCATACATAATTGATCTACATCCACCTCTCATGTCATTTACCTAAATTTACACTCACATTAATCTCAATTCTTTGATTTTGTACTCATCAAAAGAAAAAATACATCACACCCTTGTTATCTAAAACTTTACTGACACTTCTTGTTAAAGTTTGCCTCCAAACAAAAGTAACGGAAGTGACTCTTTTACTAATTTGTCCCTGCAAAACATAAATATTTACCTATATATTATATTTGACCAAATATAATGCACACATATATTTGTATTTACCTATACTAGCAATGCATGAGTTGTGTTGCACGTGAATATTTAAACAAAGAATCTTTGGGTTGCCAGAGTATCCTCCAAGGGTGTGCATAAGAAATTGACTCAGAAGCTTCTTCATGAGAGAGCAAAATTGCCCTAAAGGTTTGCTCTAATTTTGACAAAGAACCTGGGTTATTTAACGATTGGTTTTTACCCGATCTTAGTTTAAAAAAATCGGGTTTTTATGCCTAAAATGGCCTACCTTTGTAGATCCACCATCTTGTAGGCCCTGCCCATTCCGATGACCCTTTTTCTTAGGCTCATTAGTAACCCTCATATTTCCTTTTCTGTCCTTTTGGGCCTTGTTCATTAGAACCCTCGAAATCCAATAAGAATCTTTTTTTTTATCTCAAAAATCATTCCTATTTTGACAGCAGAAACTGAAGGTTGATAAGAACGAAGAGGAATTACTATCCTCCACGTTTGTATGTTGAAATCCAAAAGAATACGTGTACTCCCCTCAAAATTGTATTATTTTAAGCACCGACATCAACTCTTGACGTCCAATATAAATCTTGTTCAAAATTCAGACGATAATACATACAAACCAAAGAAAGGAAAGTTCAGTGAAAAGCATGATATAGATCAACNAAAAGTTTGACATGAGTCAGAAATCACTTAAACTAGTTTTAAATTAATAATACTATTTTATTATAACACTAATTTACTAATTAATAATACTAACACTTCGTGCAGCATGTTATTATAATACTAATTTATTCGTGCAACATGCTATTATAATACTAATTTATTAATTTAAATTGTATCTTCAAATTAATAAATAATATTATTTCATTAATATTAAAATCATTGTATCCACAATTTTTACAAACATAAATAATTTTTTTTTTTTTACAAACATAAATAATTAATTATAGATNGCCAAAAATATGTGGAAACAATGTGTGTGTGTGTGTAAGCTTACAAAATCATATATTCTTGAAGATTAGCTCATAGCTGTNACCAAAAATATGTGGAAACAATGTGTGTGTGTGTAAGCTTACAAAATCATATATTCTTGAAGATTAGCTCATAGCTGTAAGTTGTGCCTTGCCCGCTTGCTTGAAAAGAATGTGATGTTAAGGTATCATGTGTGAATTTTATTTCAAGTGAAATGGTTTGTCATTNAATAATAATAATAAAGGGTATTAAAAGAAATTAGGGGTACTTATGTATACTTAAAAGCTAAAAGTTATAATGCAATGGGGTACTAAATGAAATTTATCATACTTATAACAAAAAATATACATATATATATATATATATATAAGTAAGAAGACTCCAATCAGTTGTGACTCAACGACAAACACAGACAGAGAGAAGAGACAGAAAGACGATGCCCCATGCCGATGCCAGAAAGAGAGACAGAGAGAAGAAGAAGAACGTACCTGGCNAACACAGACAGAGAGAAGAGAGAGAAAGACAATGCCCCATGCCGATGCCAGAAAGAGAGACAGAGAGAAGAAGAAGAACGTACCTGGCNTTGGTTGAACTAAACTGGACCAAAGTGGATTGGGTCAAATTTAAAGTACTTAACCCAATTAAGATATTGGGCTTAATAACCATCGACCCAAACCAACAAAAAATAGGGATAGGACCAAGGATCGAAATATCGTTTCGAAGTACCGTTTCAGTCAGTTCAAAAACGGAAATATTTCGAAAACGCGAAAAAAAATATGAAAACACGTAGAAACAGATACAATCCATTTATTTATAAAGCTTAATAATTGATTAATTCAATATAGTCATTAGGTTAACATCGATTTATACAAGAATAAATTTAAATTGGAGGAAAAAAAAGTTTGACATGAGTCAGAAATCACTTAAACTAGTTTTAAATTAATAATACTATTTTATTATAACACTAATTTACTAATTAATAATACTAACACTTCGTGCAGCATGTTATTATAATACTAATTTATTCGTGCAACATGCTATTATAATACTAATTTATTAATTTAAATTGTATCTTCAAATTAATAAATAATATTATTTCATTAATATTAAAATCATTGTATCCAAAATTTTTACAAACATAAATAATTTTTTTTTTTTTTACAAACATAAATAATTAATTATAGATATTTAAAAAATAAGGTATAATTAATAAAATGACTTGTAATAATTTAATATACCAATTTAGCAAATAATAATAACATAAAAGAATAATTGCAAAAAAAATAATAATAATAAAGGGTATTAAAAGAAATTAGGGGTACTTATGTATACTTAAAAGCTAAAAGTTATAATGCAATGGGGTACTAAATGAAATTTATCATACTTATAACAAAAAATATACATATATATATATATATAAGTAAGAAGACTCCAATCAGTTGTGACTCAACGACAAACACAGACAGAGAGAAGAGACAGAAAGACGATGCCCCATGCCGATGCCAGAAAGAGAGACAGAGAGAAGAAGAAGAACGTACCTGGCTCATAACTCGCAGCGATGAAAACCTAAGTCCCAACAGAGAGGAGATAAGCCCTAGACCTGTGTAGAGGGAGACTAGATCTGCTAAAATCTGGACTCAAAGAGGTAAGCTACTGAATTCTTCTCCTTCAATTTCCGATGTATAGTCTGTATCTGTCTTTCTCTCTCTTTCTCTTTGATTCATTTGGGTGCTGATTGTGCCCCTCTCTCTCCTCTCTATTTTTTTCCCTTAGAAGACTTGGACCTGTGTACATGTGATTTTTGAGAAAATCTGAGATTTTTGAGAAAATCTCAATTTTTCTCCCTCTTTTTTGGCTTGGAGAACTAGTGCACTCGTGAATTCTAAGGAGAATCTCAGATTTTTGAGTCTTTCCCCTTTTTTTTTTGCTTGGAGGACTTTGGTCTGGAATGCAGTCGAATCAATCCACTATTTCGTCGAAACAAAACAGTTTCGACACAATGATATTTNGGGTCATTGACCCGAACGGCACTGGTACACATCGATCGTGGTGTCACAGCATGGTATCGGCTGATAAAAACAAAAGGCTAGACAGAAGGGCCAAAAAATTCTTCAAAAAANTGGTCATTGACCCGAACGGCACTGGTACACATCGATCGTGGTGTCACAGCATAGTATCGGCTGATAAAAACAAAAGGCTAGACAGAAGGGCCAAAAAATTCTTCAAAAAACATGAAACATTCTAAAAAAAAGTATACAACAAGATCCATGCATTATTGTTTAAAATGCATCCACAACACATTAAACACAATGAAAATGAAATATATTGACATATGAAAAATATTTAGCATCGTCAATGTTCAATATCAATTTGACAAAATATTAGATCCCAAAGTTTGAATGTAAATATTGGATAAATGTAAATATAATCTGATTTAATAACATTGAAGAAAATAGAATTTTAACAAAGAATAATTAATAGAGAATAAAATAGATAGTAACAGAAAATTTAAAAACAGAAAATAATAGAAATTTAACAGAGAATAAATTATAAATTAAAACATACTAAAAATCAGAAATTAGAAGGAAAACAAATTTTAAGCCATCCTAAAATCGGTGTGTTAACTTAAGTCACTATGTTTTTTTTTTTTTTTGTTTTGAACGAGTACTATGTTAAAAGTTAACATTTAACAGATATTTATGAACAGAGAGACGTGGCCCTGTGTCTTCCACGGTTTGGGCTTCGGTCAGAGATAGAAAGAGAGAATACTAAGGTGAAAAACACAGGCGAAAAGAGAGAGACAGAGAGCAAAGTTGAGAGGCTCAATCATTGTAGTCCCAACCTAGGGCTTCTACGATTTTTTACAAGATGTTGGTCACTTGGTCTCTGCTGGTAAGAAAAAGAAGAAGAAGAAGAAGAAGAGGCTCTCTCATACAGGTTTGTGTTACAATATTTCTGAATTCATTGCTTTGCTGCGGAGCACCATGGGGGTTCTTCAAGGTTCCATTTTTGTTTGGCAGTCTTTTTAACTGATTATAGATCTCCAACTTCATCTCTTTTTCCTTTTTTTTGGCATTTTCTCTGTTGTTTGAGATGTGGGGAGCAATTACGAGTGTATCAGTTCGATTCGGGTGCGAATTGGCCGATTCAACGAGATGACTCCGAGTTAGACCGAGTCTGAACTGATTCATGTTAGACTCGTGCTATTTTGGTATCCTGTATCATTTTCAAATCGGTTGTGGCCAAGTCATATCGGACCCAGGCGATTCTTGGAACCCTGCCCCAAAATTTCCTATCAGAAATATACATCTAACATACCGTATCATTGGATTCCAAGTCAGAATCATAGGGAAGATCAAATGGGTTGGTGGATTTGCGATCAGTTGCATGTGAATGTGTTTCTGCCTGAAAATATTGTGTAATTGAAAAAAAAAAAGATATATTAGTTGGGAATAAAGTGCCAAAATTCTAAATGACAAGACCGAAGCAAAAGCAAAGAACACACCATTACAGTAAGCATTGATGAAGCATATGATGACCCACTAACCTGTGATGGTATACTGGGAATAGGGTGTCCACTCTCAGAACCAGTTCCTTGAATTCCATCTTTATCTATGTCCTGCAGAAGTAAAAAAGTGAGTGGAAGAAAGGCAAATAAAAGCTTTAGAACTGTCAAGAAGATCCAACAACCTCCGAGGCTCTTACACCCAGATGCTGATCAAAAATAGGAGGGAGATTGTCCATCGCAACTTGTTTGCTAGCATGTTGAGTGCTCAGGAAGGATGGATGACCAATGGAATCATCAAATGCGTTCCATGACTGTAAAGAAAAAAGGCAGCTTGCATTTATCTATTCCATCTTCAAAATTAACAAATCAAACTANGTAAGTTGTGCCTTGCCCGCTTGCTTGAAAAGAATGTGATGTTAAGGTATCATGTGTGAATTTTATTTCAAGTGAAATGGTTTGTCATTGACAATGCATTCAAACTACCTGAGAAATATATTGGCCGTAGTTTGCAGACAAGGACTACCTGCAAAATAAACAATTTTCTAGTGCAGCATTCTAACCAGCTTAACTCAATATTGTCACAACCTTTTTTGGGCTTGACTAGATGAATCATATTTACATATCATTTTATTTTTATCTTTTAGTAGTAAAATTTTATTAGGTATCTTTACTTTAATATGTGGAGTTCCCTATATAAAAGGACTAATATTATTTTTGGAAGACTCAGAGTTGTTAAATAATAAGAATTTTTGATCCTCTTGCCCTAATTGTCTTCTCTTTTCATCCCTTCTGATTTCTTCTCTTCTTCTCTTCTCATCCCGTAATTCTTCTTCTTCCTAATCTACATTAAGCATATTTGGTGAACAGTACTTCGAAGAATAGTAACCACGACAAACAGCAACTCAGTGAACAGTGGTAGAGAAGAAAAAAAAAGGGAAGGGAAAGAGAGGGACCCCACCATAACAAATGCTCTGAGACCAAGTTGAAACTCAAATAATCAAGTATAAGGGTTTAAGTTTAGAACAAAGGTAAGAGAGAAAATGACATTGAGAAAATAACATTTGTAGGATGTTTGATGCCAACACCCTACGATCTATTTATATTAGATTGATATTAAAGACAATTACAATATTAGGAAAGTAAAATATAATAAAAAAGCAACTTAATAGGAATGTAATATAATGAGAAAGTAACACTCTAACAAATGGTTCAAGGACGTACTATTGGTCATTGACCCGAACGGCACTGGTACACATCGATCGTGGTGTCACAGCATAGTATCGGCTGATAAAAACAAAAGGCTAGACAGAAGGGCCAAAAAATTCTTCAAAAAACATGAAACATTCTAAAAAAAAGTATACAACAAGATCCATGCATTATTGTTTAAAATGCATCCACAACACATTAAACACAATGAAAATGAAATATATTGACATATGAAAAATATTTAGCATCGTCAATGTTCAATATCAATTTGACAAAATATTAGATCCCAAAGTTTGAATGTAAATATTGGATAAATGTAAATATAATCTGATTTAATAACATTGAAGAAAATAGAATTTTAACAAAGAATAATTAATAGAGAATAAAATAGATAGTAACAGAAAATTTAAAAACAGAAAATAATAGAAATTTAACAGAGAATAAATTATAAATTAAAACATACTAAAAATCAGAAATTAGAAGGAAAACAAATTTTAAGCCATCCTAAAATCGGTGTGTTAACTTAAGTCACTATGTTTTTTTTTTTTTTTTGTTTTGAACGAGTACTATGTTAAAAGTTAACATTTAACAGATATTTATGAACAGAGAGACGTGGCCCTGTGTCTTCCACGGTTTGGGCTTCGGTCAGAGATAGAAAGAGAGAATACTAAGGTGAAAAACACAGGCGAAAAGAGAGAGACAGAGAGCAAAGTTGAGAGGCTCAATCATTGTAGTCCCAACCTAGGGCTTCTACGATTTTTTACAAGATGTTGGTCACTTGGTCTCTGCTGGTAAGAAAAAGAAGAAGAAGAAGAAGAAGAAGAGGCTCTCTCATACAGGTTTGTGTTACAATATTTCTGAATTCATTGCTTTGCTGCGGAGCACCATGGGGGTTCTTCAAGGTTCCATTTTTGTTTGGCAGTCTTTTTAACTGATTATAGATCTCCAACTTCATCTCTTTTTCCTTTTTTTTGGCATTTTCTCTGTTGTTTGAGATGTGGGGAGCAATTACGAGTGTATCAGTTCGATTCGGGTGCGAATTGGCCGATTCAACGAGATGACTCCGAGTTAGACCGAGTCTGAACTGATTCATGTTAGACTCGTGCTATTTTGGTATCCTGTATCATTTTCAAATCGGTTGTGGCCAAGTCATATCGGACCCAGGCGATTCTTGGAACCCTGCCCCAAAATTTCCTATCAGAAATATACATCTAACATACCGTATCATTGGATTCCAAGTCAGAATCATAGGGAAGATCAAATGGGTTGGTGGATTTGCGATCAGTTGCATGTGAATGTGTTTCTGCCTGAAAATATTGTGTAATTGAAAAAAAAAAAGATATATTAGTTGGGAATAAAGTGCCAAAATTCTAAATGACAAGGCCGAAGCAAAAGCAAAGAACACACCATTACAGTAAGCATTGATGAAGCATATGATGACCCACTAACCTGTGATGGTATACTGGGAATAGGGTGTCCACTCTCAGAACCAGTTCCTTGAATTCCATCTTTATCTATGTCCTGCAGAAGTAAAAAAGTGAGTGGAAGAAAGGCAAATAAAAGCTTTAGAACTGTCAAGAAGATCCAACAACCTCCGAGGCTCTTACACCCAGATGCTGATCAAAAATAGGAGGGAGATTGTCCATCGCAACTTGTTTGCTAGCATGTTGAGTGCTCAGGAAGGATGGATGACCAATGGAATCATCAAATGCGTTCCATGACTGTAAAGAAAAAAGGCAGCTTATACCTTGCATTTATCTATTCCATCTTCAAAATTAACAAATCAAACTAAGGTTTGCTGTAATGTATATCTCTAGGTTTTCAAATGAACAGCAGTGCACCTACCACAACATCTTTATTAAATCCCAATACCTTAAACATTTCATGTGTGCTGGAATATTGCCTACCTGAGTGTTGGTTGCATCATGGGAGGTTGGCCATAGATCAGGTATGGATGAAGAAGTTTCATGAGCGCTTGAATTATGAAATGCTGGCGACTTCAGGCTTGTATCCAGGCATAAAAGTGTGTCAACGGTCCTCAGAGTACCACCATCAGAAGAAGGTAATGTTGCAGGTATAGAATTTTCAATGCCCAGACGAGGTGCCAAGTGCTGTGGCATGTCAAAGGTCGCCCATCCTTCATTCTTAATCACACCTAGTGATGATTCATTCAAGGATGCAGCTGCCTGTTGCTGAGGCATCTCAGAGAAAAAGCCTACAGATGAATATGTAGAAATTTGGGATGGCTGCTTTGAATTCAAAGTTGGAACTGCAGAGATAGGTGATGGCTGAAACAAATCTACAGATGGATTAAACAGTGCCTCCGGAAACTGAAATAAATCAGTAGCCGAAGATGTTGAACTAATAGTTTGTGGTACAGAGGATGGATTAAAAAGGTCCAGGCCACCAGAATTAGCAGTTAATGATAATCTTGGTAAAGAGGGAAAAGTGGAGAGTTTATCATCTTGGATCCCCACAGATTGTTCAGGTTCTGAGGCAACATCCACTAAACTAACAGAGAATCCAAAGCTACCCGAAGATGCCATTCTCTGAATTAAAGCATATTGTAGTGTCAGATGAGAAATTAGGACAAGAAGTATGAAAAAGAACAAAGAAATTCCAGAACAGATACAATAATACATATATTGCCAATTAGAAAATGTCAAATTAACTTAAGCACAAATATGGTAAAAGTATGCTGCACCTCAATTTTTAATTGGTCTATCTATTTGCCTATACAAAAGAAAAACTAGTCATGCTTCTTTCCAGTCTACAGTAACCTTAGGATGTTTTTATACATTCTTAAATGGAAGAGAAAGCATCTCTGTATTCTTCTCCATTTCTCATCTTTATATTGTTCTCCAAGAGCCTGCATAAACAAATTCTACAGTGTGTCCAATATATCTCACTATTAGAGAAGAAGTCGGCACACGTGTTGAAGAAAATATATTTTAGGCTCAACGCGTGACAAGCTCTCAATAAACAAAGGCATACTAGAACATAAGTTAAACAACGAAGTCCAGGCCAGATCTTAGACAACAGTAGGTTAAAGATAAGCAACCAAAAATTCCAAAGGCAAAGCAAAGAGAGTGTCAGCTGGGAATGATGTTGTTCCTTGCAATGAGAAAAACAATACTACTCTGCCAAACCCCGGAAATTAGAACGAATTGTAAAATAGAGTAAATTAATAAAGCAGCTTATAAAAAACCAGGAACTTAACAGACAACAATTGGTAGAAAAAAAGGTCTATTCATTGCACTCACCCAATCTGCATTAGGTTAGGTAAGTGGGTGATAATAGCTCCCCCACATCCCAAAGTACCTTGTGCTCCTAGATGTGCAATACAAATTACAAAGTAATCCACGCCAATCCACAACCATGTTTAATGACGGACATATTACAAAAAATGCAAATCCATTAATGAGCAAAATGAAGTTTGCATTAATGATAGGGATCTCAGGGGAAACCGTTAAAGCACATTTGAACATACGGAAAGATCCATACGAATTCTCCTTTCATTTTTCCTGTATAGTTAAGAACAACTGTGGAGCTTATACATCCATCAGCCCAATAACTCATTAGGCAAATTCATGATCAAGGGTTTCCATTTGGAACATCATCCAAGGCTGTGGAACTGGATAATAATTTGTTAACCTAAATCAAGGAGACCAAATAAGGAACATGTGTAACACAGAAGAGTTGTACTTTTACAAATCATGGTACTTATGGCATGGGAGAGGAAGACTGTTGGAATTTTCACTGATGCTATTTCAGAACTATTGTCATTACTCTGGTTGATCAAATGAAAATTAGGTGTTCATTAGAATTTTTCAGAGACTATAATCTATATCTTCAATTACCATACAATGTCATGAAAACACATTACTGAGTGTGCATAAACTTATACAGCGACAATAAAAAAAATACGTCAATTATTTACTGTGTCCCAATGAGAATGACTATCTTGTATCAAGACACAGTTGAAAGAGACTCCCAAGGTACCACTGCTGAATAAATAACAATGTGTTTAACCTCTATCAGAATCAAAAGCAGATATAATAGTAACATGACCTGTGGACGCACACCCCGGTCTGCATCTCTCCTAGCAATTGTGTGTGATAATGTATTCACTGTATGAGAATGTGCATCTTCGCTGAACAAATCCCTTGAAATTTCACTCTGGGGACTGTTAAATCCAATGTCCCTCTCAAAGTTAGGCGATTGGCTATCAGACCGGAATGGATCACCTCCGCTAGACACAGAATAGTCTGAAGCTCTTGCGTTAGATTCCTCATTTGCAAACCTGTCCTCAAAGATATGACTACTTAAACGACTTGGACTCAAAAAACTAGAGACTTTCCCTTCATAAAGACCTCGATCTGAACCAGGCTTTCTTGTGAGCACGGGAGCGTGTTTTCCATAACGCCGTTCTTCATATTGAAAATCATAAGGTGGACTTTGAGAGTAAGAATGATATGAACTGGCTCGCCTTGTCTCATCTTCGTGGGTTCTGAGATTCTGACAAAATCATGTATGATTACTATGAGTTAGGCTGCGTTCAAGACTGAAATGGGATAACTGCAGTGGAAAGACAAGGGGACAAATGTGTCTGAAGGGCTCTATAACAATTAGATTGGTCAAGGTATATTACCTGCATATCTCTCGGAGGTCTGTTAGAGGTTTTTCCTCCAGCATATTTTCTTTCCACATAGACACTCTTTATAAACTCCCTAACTTTGTCAGCATTGCTGCAAGAAGATGACCTAATTAAGACTCACAATATCGTAATCAGCAATTTTTTACAAGAAAAGCAACCAGTTACAGATCTTGCACCTGCTATCAGGAAGTCTCTGCCTTTGAGAGTCCCACTCCTTCAAATATGTTTCCCTTGCACGCTGAAAGTGTTAATGGACCATAAGCGCACAGAAGCAAACTCTTGCTACCAAAGGGAAAATATACCATGTCGGGGATAATCATACCTGATTACCACCCTTTTGAAGAGCTTCTATTTCTTGGGAAGTGAACTTGGCCATTGATACAGACTTCACACGGTGAGTAAATTCACGACTGCAAGATACATAAAATGAGTATGTATTCACAATAGACATTTCAAAGTGGGAAAGGCACCGAGCATGCCAAGTGCAGAGGATATATCACCTACAGGAATACAAATTTACCAATCCAGTAGGAAACTTTTTCACAATTCCATAACAAGATAACTTGGTATATCAACATATTAACCACACACCATTTTAATTAAATGATTGATTAAATCACATAAGAACTATCAAGCAAACATTTCCTTGGGGATCTATAATGCTATTGAAACTTTCCCGGTTCTCGGATGAGTATATACCTGCACAAGTACTGTACTACATTCGCTTCAAGTTCCTATTTCTTGTGGCCTAAATAGCCAACAGGATTGGAAAACTCATAACTAGGTCAAAGCTTGACAAAATAATGGGTACAGAAACTAACTTGCAACAGTTTCAAGGGTGAAGGCAACAGAAATGAGCTGAGGAGTACAAAAAAAAAAGCCAATGACATAAGTACTTGTCCCCAGTGCTAGTTGCCTAAAGAATGTAAAGTTAAAAGAAAAACCAGGAATTGCATGCTTTCAAGCAAAGCATAAACCCCATTACCTTATCATTTGTATTAGCTTGGAAGTAAATTACATGGAGCATTTGATGTTTTCATGTTATCCAAGCTGATGCTTCTTATTTGACACTTCCTTTCCAATTTTCACTATGTGAAGTTTTTGTACCACAAATTGTATTAGTAAACCCAAACGTTGCAATAGCTGAAATCTCGTGCAGAGTTATCATTTTAAAATTGAATATGCAGAATCAATAGACACTAGTCTCATAAGGAGGGTTCAAAGTATCAGCCAAGTTTGATATGACTCGGCCCCTACCGATCCGATAATGATAAACGTTACGCAAAAATGATGAGTCGCACCTAAATCGGTGGTATCAGCTTGACTCGAAGTGTCACATATCGGTGTAACTCGGGCGAGTCACACCGGACTCGAACCAATGTGGGGAAATCTCACAAAAAAAAAAAAGCAAAAGTCAAAGAAAATGACAGGAGATGAGTAATCAACAAAAATCAGACCCAAAAATGCAGAAACCCACATGAATCTGCAATTTTTCAAACCCTAATCACACAAAACACATGAAAATTAAACAGAAAAACTGGATTGAAAGAAGTGTCAAGCAAACCTATAAAATAGAAGACGAAAAAGCCCCTTTTCCTCACACATTCGCACAGCAAGAAGCTGGGAACACTAACCCAGATCTCTCCTTCCTTCCCCTTGATCGACGTTGACTGGAGCCTTAGATCGCATCGTCTAAGGTGATTCCTCTCTGTCTCAGGTACACTCTCTATCTTTCTCTGTTTGACTGGTTCTCTCTCTCTCTCTGATGGTGTAGACTCTAGATTAGAAGAGTCCCTTTTTCTTTTTCTTTTTCATTTTTTGACCTCACTGTCGGTATTGGTTCAAACTTCAAACCATTTTTTATTTATTTCCTTTTTTTCTTTTTTGGTCTTCTGAACAGAGTCAAATAGACTCTCTTGAGTCTTCTTTTTTAGTTTTGGGTAAGATTTTTTTATGACTTTTGGGTCCACAAATAGTTATACAATTGGATATATGTGTATTTTTAGAATTTTAAATATTTAAAGACATAACTTATTGATTACTACTTATATTTGTTATGTTTCCAAAATTTCAGAATATTCAAAAACTAAATTATAAATCACAAAAATATTTTTTGTAACGCCTTTATATATTGTTTTTGTTATGTTGAGAGAATTAACACAATATTAGAGAGAAACAGAGATACAATAATAAGATAGACATAATACACCCTCTTATATTTACACATAATACCCTAACACTCTTAACAATTTACACATACTACCCTAATACTCTTAACAGCTTTCACTATATTTAATGAGTTAGGGGATGCATTTTGGATAAATGATGCATACATTTTATTGTTTACAATTTTCATATTTTTTTTAGAATTTTTGGGGTCTTCTATATAGCTTTTTGTGTGTATCGGTCCATACCGTGTCATGACACCGTGACCGATGCGTATAAGTACCTTCCAAGTCAATAGCTGATATTGAGACCTTGGACCATGCTCATAAGAGACCAATCCTATAAATCAACTACAAGATATTCTCTCGTCAGTTGCCATAAGGAAGGACTAGGGAGGAAATTGGAGGAGCTTTCGGCATTATGATGTTGTGTTACGTGTTATTTTAGCTTAAGGGTATTTCTATATTTCATATATCTTTTCTGCTTATATACAACATCTAGAGTGGTTTTGTGTGACTTAACACACTGCTCTTCAATCTCCACAAATTATTTTTTTTTCCTTTATTTTTCTTCTTCAAACCTCTTGTCTCCCCCAAAACATAAAACTCACCTGCTTCAAAAAAGCTTCATGGTGCTGACATCATAGTCGGATTTGATCAAAAAAACCCATCATTTGATTCCCTACTACTTTCTAAGAATTATGGTTGAATTCTCAGAATTTATTGAAGCCATTAGATCGATTTTTTTAACGATTTTTAGTTTTGTGTCTAGCGAAGTTGTTTTCTGGCCTTTTCGAGCACTTTGGCTACTTGTTTCAGGCTTTCAGCTGAATCTTCAATATGTATTGCACCAAGGGTCAATGATCAATGCCCAATGAGTTTGGTTGAGATTATGATTCTTTGACAAATTTGAGGATCAGCAGTATTTTTTTTTTTGCTTGTGGACTACTGTTTTGACCATCTGATTTCACGTTCCTCGGTTTTTTGGGTATATTGACAGATTGTATTTCATGAGAGGCTAGCACGGTATATTATTGGCTATTTCCAAATTCTTGCCCCGTTATTTCCAACGAGTATTCACCCTTTTTTTGAGCTATTTCGGTTGTGTGGACTTGTTGGATGGTGGTATAACTTCTACCAGTATTACAAGAAGTGGGTGGGGTTGTCTTGCAGCTTTTGCGAATAGCACCTCTACTTAAATTAGTCCAAAGATGCTAGATTGAAGCAATTCTTTGACTTGGCCATAAGGTTGCTTGTTTTCGGTCCAAGCTATTTTTTGTGATGGATATCAATGGACATCTAATAATGCCATTTTTATGTCTTAGTTGCTTAATTTAATGCAGCCTTCAATTAGTTGCAGTTTTCGTTACTTGACATAGCTCATTTTCAGACTCAGACTGTAGTAGCCCAAATGAACTATTAAATGGGCAATGATGCCAAGACTTATGACCCCTAAAAGAAGAAACTAGAAGGACAAGACTCTTGTTGTCTATTATGCATTGTTGTTCACCTTATGGGAAGGAAGTGACTACTACCAGAGTGAACTAGTCATTCAGCAAAATTTCAACATATGGTGTCCATGATTTTCGTGATGGTCTCAATATGTAGTATTGCTAGGAAACTGATTATAATAGACAAATTTCGCGAAATCTTTATGTAAATTTCAACCTAGTTTTATGATCAAGAAGCTTCAAAGCAAAACAACAAGGACGGACAGAGTTTAAGCTACAAAACCAAATCAAGAGTTCTCCAATGCATCTTCAATGCTTAGGATAAAGATAATAATCTAGATACCTAAAAATCATTGGTTTATTTATAGACTTGGGTTGATTAGGATAATGGAAATGGAAATAGGAATATCCATGTGACTCTCAGGCTTTTCATGAAAGAAATTTTATAAACCTTAAATATGTTTTGAAAACATATAATGAATCATGTATCGAATCATTTTTGAGCAACACCCATTAGCGCTCCATAGGTCAAATTTTTGTTGGGTTTCTAACTTAAAAACCAATTGGAACCGCCCTCTACTCGCTTGCCTTTGGCTAGAACTGTTTTTGAACACTTAAGAGATGAAATCAAAGAAAGCTCACGAGTTGGGCAATGGAGACTGCCATCAAGCTGCTGAAGCAGTCCTCAGATGGCTCAAGCAGCCTCTGTTCCGCGATCTAGTTTGAACTAATTTTTTATTCCAATGATAACCGTCCTCCCACCGCTCGATCATGAATTTGTTGTTACTAGGACCCCAAGACAAACCTAATTCCAGACCTATATAAAGCGTAAGCCTTCCCAAACTATGGTAATTCTATTGTAAGGCTATTTTTCGTCTCTTAAACATCTAGAGAGCGAAAAACAACCTTAGATCCCTAAATCCCCAAAGGCCAATCCATCTTAATTCTTCTATTCAACCTCACACCTCAGAGAAAAAGATCTAACTTGGAGTTCAACAAAACCCACATAGGAGTGTATATTCCGAGGATCTTGAGTGCATCTTAAAAGATTGCTCAAAGAGTATAAACGGTCCATTGCAGTGGATGTGTTCAAGTGAAGTTGCTCATAATTTTGGTGGGTGATATCCAAAACAAAAATTTACAACGAAAAGGAGCTTCTAACTATAGTATTGGTTGAGCTATAAAACTCGAGTACTTGAAAATCAATTTTGAGTTAGTGGATTAGATTAGGTGAACTGAGAGCGATTCCACAGTTTCTTCCGAAAAGGTTTCCGCGTAAACAAATTGCTTGTCTTGCGGATACCTCTTTATTGTTTTACCTTGCATACACACTTACGACAGTACACACGCACAATGTGTACAATGGAATTATTATTTAATTTTCTTCAATTGGATTTTGTAAATTGTTGACTTGGTGGTGGGATTTAAGGATTGGGTGATTAGATTGCTGAATAAATTGATTTCACACATTAATTATCCATTCATTCATATGGATTGTTTGTAAAAAGTGTTTATGCACTCAATTGACATATTAATTGTTGAACTGGTAATTGAGGTTGAGTAGGCTTTAAAATTGATGATTGCCGAAGCATAATTTTTATAAACCAAGTCACTTCCTCTAGGTTGTGTCTAACTATTTCACATGTACAATCATGGGGGAAAGATTCACTCAAATCTCTCCCTCTCCCAAGTGTGTCCAGACTCGTGTTCAAACTGCTTGTCATAGCCCATTATCCACCTTGCAGAAGGGTTATGCAATGTTCAGATTTCCTCAGTATGACTTTTACATAAACG